TCTATCTATTGCTGAAAATTGCATAAACGTATATTACGTTTTCTTTGAGTTCATTACCCATATTACATAGTACAAAACAGTAAATTCTAACGCATGCACAATCATTTCAGTAAATCTACTGCCCGTTCTTCAATAGATCAAAACCATTGTTGTATCATTTTCCCATCTCAGAGACATCCAATAAACAATAAAACATGAACTGTTTCTTCATATCTACGATCTGTTATCAACAATGCGGGCTTAATCTAGACCCTAAGGTTCGGTTCAGAGATTGACCCTGTAATGTATGATACGTCGGCCCCTTTGAATATTGTTGTCGTGATGATATTTGATGTATAGTGATAGGTTCTTTGATAACCCCTGTAGATCAGTAGTTAAGTATGGTTTATATTCAAATTGTTTTTAATAGTGAATTTTGGACATTGCCTTTATAATTCTCTACAAAATATGTAAACAGGTTTGACATCTACATATTTACAAATAAAGAAAGTCACCTCCATAAGCTTTAAAGGATGAGGCATAACAGTGAAATCACAGGGTATGGAGGTGTTATCTTATCTTACCCTAGTCGGTAGACGAGATATCCCTCATACGCATCAGGGATATTTCGTACGTCACATAATGATGATATAGGTATAAGATGATGTTAATTACCAGATTCACCAGGTGATTTGAAATTCCATAAAAAATACATAAAATATTTAAAATATATGTAGTGGAGAGAGAAAATTCTTAATAGTTTGCACAGTAAATGATTTGTGATAAAAAATATCGGCATTTTACCTATAGATATTTACATGACCGACAAGATCGTCCGAATTGAAAGAATGGAAAAAATATCACAATATTTACACGTAGGTAGGCAAACTTGTAAGTTCGGTCACACTGCAATATTATGGTAACATAAGCTCAGATCAACTTAGTTGGAAAAGGAAGGTGGCTAGAACCTCTGTAACAAACTGTACAATTCCAATGAAGTTGTGCTCAATTGATTTGTTTTGATGTAATTTAGCTTACTTATATTAATCAGTGCTAATAATAAGCTTTTTTTATTTCTACACAAATATATCCAATCTCTTAGTTCCAATATAGATGAGACGAACTATTAGTATTCCATGGATTCCATTCCATATACCGTGCCGGGCCCATCGTATGGCAGAGAGGGAATCTCCGAGCACTTACCGGGACTTGTGGCTCGGGTGTAAGTTTAAAGGTCTACATACGTCAAGTCTCACTTGCTGTAGTACGACTTGTTATCCCGTAAATGCCTTTCTGAAACTCGGAAACTAAACAAACACTTTCACTTATGATCAATAGACAGTCATTTTGGGGTCAAGTGCCTACTTTCCATATTGAATTATGTGTTTGATAACGAAAAGTAATGTCATCATTCTTAATCACCAATACTTGAGTAATTATTTGAATGTAAATTAAAGATATTTTATAAGACAGTCTATTTGTTTATATTATAGTGTCAATCATAGTTAGTACATACAAATAGTTAAGTACGTGTGTGTACAGTGGTAAAAAAGTATGGAAACAAATCAAAATATTTTTAACAAAGATGGAATGGCAAAAAATTACGGCTGACCTGACGGCAAGTTTTGTGAAATATAGTATAAGTACCAAGCGTTGCCATTCCCGACAGCTAAAGTATAAGGCCTCTCATATCTGACTTTTTAAACCGGAAAACCACTTGCAAATAAAGCTGGTTGGCGGCAGAAATAAACGATTAAAAACATTGACAGAAATAGGTGAGATAAAGGTACTCACACAGATGACAATTTACAATGTCACCTTTAGGTCGATATTCGTTAAAGTATAGAAAAGAATTGAGGTCGCTCGTTTTAAATCTATGTTAAAAAAGTAAAAAACATTTAGCATTTACTTAGTTTTCTTTTCTTTAAAATTAGTTCAGTCATTTATCTGCATACACCATTATACCAAAACCATAAAATACATGTTTTTAATTTTTTATGTAAACAAGCTTAAGGCCATCCTGATGGTAAGCGGTAACCGTCGCCTATAGTCGTGTCGATAACATTAACACTACGGACATCATGATATCACCCCATGATACCACTCATGTGTTGCCGTTGTAAAGGACCTCATGCCTCGTATCCTGCACAAAGCAAGCGGTTTGGCAGTCGGTGTAGTTGAGACAGACGATTTTATCTCTCAATTTATTCTTATACCAGATAGTATTTTGCTTTTGCAACTAATGTATAAAATTTGCACGGCTTTTGCAGTTTACAATGTAACGCAAAGAAAGGTAAAATATACCCCATTAGTGTCAGGGTAGGCAAAGTCCTTTCGATGGAACTTCCTCTAGATAATTTTCCTGTTTACTACCTGACTTAAATTATGTCGCCGGAGTGAACAAAACAAAAAAATGTCATAGAGCGTGTTCCACAGAAATTTACAAGTTTCAAATAAAAAAAAGTAGCGAGGCAAAGGACAAAAAATATAAAACTTGAGCCCGACAAAAAGCGTTGTTTGGGTTGAGCTTATAGCGGGTCATAGCCACCTTTTTTGTACCAATTTAAATTTGGCCTCGAGCTAATTGGTTTTAATCAATCGACGTAAATTTGATTGATATGAATAAATTTTAAAATGAGACCCTAGTAAATTATAGTTGAGTGTATGAATCAAATAACCTAGTCTTAAGCGAGTCTTAAGAGCCCCTCTTCGTCAAAAAGAATGGAGACGTCGTTATGATCCGTCAAGTGCTGTGGTTTTTTGTTATTACTAGGTATTTCAAGTGATATTTTTTAATAATTTAAGAGATTGTTTAACAAAAACGTAGCCTTCAGTTTTGTTAAAAATAATCTGCACAAGAACTGGTTCGCAATTGTTTTATTATTTTATTTTCTTCTTACAAAAAAAAAAAATCTTAAAAAAATTTTTTACTTCTTATATTAAGTTTTCTTGTTGTTCCATGTATGTATTGGCTTAGAAATATAGCTCTTTTACATGTACATAAAATATACAATCGAATTGAAGGACCGTAGCTATTTAAGTGACTTTACTTATTAAAGTAAAGTAATAAAAATTCAGCCGTCACTGATAAAAAATAATTTATGAAAATTTGTGGACAGCATTTACTGGAATTCGACCGAAAATATCTAAATATTGACGAGGTTCTTACTGCTTGCATAAAATTCGACGAATAAAGTCCACAATCGTAAGTTTATGGATAAAAAAATTATTACGAGTGTCCATTATTTCAAATCGTGTGCTCCTCCTTATGTTTTTTTTTGTTTCGGATGGGCGTACGCTCGTAAAGTCGATTACACATGGGCGATCCTAATTGAATTATTAGTGGCGGTTAACATAATAATTGGGGGTTATAACAACACCGTGTTATTTTCCAATTTATTTCTTATATCTGTGGTTTTATTGCTGCGCTTCCGTTTTAAATATTGAATTTAACATTTTTTTACTAATTGCAAGTGACTTTAAACGTTTATTAGTATAATTTGGGTGATTATGTCACCGGATTTTTATGATAAAAAATATATATGAGGAGTTGTGTCTTTCCATTATTAATACTGACGGATTCAAGAGGTATTAAGTCGTCGGACTTCTGCAGCTGACTGACTACAGGCGTTCAACTGTTTATCCGTATATCGTAACTGCTTCTCAACCAATCATTTATTTTATTATTAACAATATAAAATACGCTCATCTACCAAATATTAAAAAATATTTGGTTTTTAATTTGTAGATTTCCCTATTTGGTATATGCGATTAGATGATTGTTTCTAAAAATGAACACCTGATTTAATTATATACGCAAGTAAAGTTGTTAGGACTATTTTAATCATAGGTAATAGTAATATAGCTGGGGAAAAGCCGGGCTTTTATAAATCTAAATTAGGTACGTAGAAATTAACTTTTGCATTCATTAATTAGTTACTATTAATTCTATATAAGGCTATATAATAAGGCATGGATTTTACCCTTGTAGTACCATATATATTAATAGCGCCGGAAATAAACATATCTAATAACACTAATCCATAATATTTTATTCCATTTGCAAACAACAGTGTGCACTCAAGTGAGGCAAGTTGAATAAACTAGTTACTTTAATCCTACATGTGATTGACGCAAAATGGCTTCTACATTTTTTATGTTGTATATTTAATCTGTTAATTGCTCTATATCAGGTAGACATCTTAATGTATGTTTGTTTATTAATATTGCGCTGTCAAAACTATGATTATATGAAACATTTGAAAAAGGAAATGGTTTTGTTTAACAAATAAAAAATATCAAGAATGTGTCGCTTGCTAATCTGTTTGGATAAGACACCATAGATTATGATTTAGTTGTGTTTTCAACTTTAGCGTTTTTAATACACAATATAGTTAGAGGGGGGTAGAGGGGGGGGGGGGGGGGCACAAATAATTTTATAATAATTTAATAAGGTTTTTTTTTTATTAATTTACCTTTTACCTATTTCCCGACATTTCTACTAGGTTGAACCATAGCTATGGTTATTGGCTGACTGGAGGACACCGATGTCAATGTCGCTAGGTGTCGGCAACTTGTTCTACCATCACTAGATTGTTCACGATACGTAGGATTGATATTGACCGATGTCACCATATTTCGTTTATGATTCTGAATTGTTTCATATTCGATCACAAAATTGTACACTGAAATTTCTGAAGTTGGGAAATTATCATCTTCGATGCGGTACTATCGAGCAACCTTCTTTATCACCTCAATTTTCTTTATTGTACAGGTATATTATAATGTAAAATTCATAGATTTTATACTTTAATAATATTTATTATTTTGTTATTTATAACCGATTTTTTTATAAATTAGATCTCTATAAAACTCGGTATACCTATTAATTTCTGGAATTCTTTACAAATAATCTTTACATATAACTATATGTATGTATATTTATTAAACGAAATACTCTATACCTACTTGTAAAAAAAAATATTTTTACACTTTCTAAAAGATACCTCTTTTTGTTACAGATTTCCAAAATGGGCATTAAGTAAATACGAAAAAAATGGACAACCAGCCAGACGTGCATTCTACAAAAGGCGAGAAGAAATTATTAAAAGACATGAATGAAAGAATACCAACTATAGATGAGATACAAAAGGAACAAGTTACAGTCAACAGAATTAAAATCTCTCCCATTGATCTGTCAAGATTTTTGGTTATGAAGAAACCTAGATATATTTTGTATAATAATTTTCAATATAAAGAAGAACTATCAAGAAGAAATATGATAAAAAAAGATTATAGTTTTTACAATTATTGTTTTTTAAGTGTAATTATTAGCTTTATCTTTGGATTAATAATAGGTGTTATTTTAATGGGGTCTTCCCAAACACATTTAAATCCAAATTATGATAGAAAAATATTGAGATTAAATAATACTAGAGAAGTAACTTCAAGGACTTTGAATAGCTTAAAAGTTGATGATAGTTTTTACAAGACTGAAAATAAAATTGACGTGTACGATAAAGTTAATACAAAAGACATCAAGTTTGCTCCTGTGTCATTTACTGGCGAAAGTCATAAATATAAAAAAGATATTTACCCGAAAGGGTTAACAGAGGATATGAAAGATATTTTGAAAGATAACAAAGTAACCAATCATAAACACTCAATAAACAAAGTTATTAATAATGCAACAAATTATGTTCCTAATGAATATACTGTTTTGTATGACAATATTTTTTGGGGTCCAGAAGTTGAAGATATGATGCCTCAAGGTTATGGCGAAAATACTGCAGAAATATGGGAAAAGTACGTAGAACAAAGTGAAGTTATCAAAATAGAGCCAGGTTGTGGGCGCATGCAAAATCGTTTAGTAACATTCAAAGATGGTATTCAGGCCTGCGTGCGATACAGACAAAACACAGATCAAATTCAAGGAGAAATATTTAGTTTTTATGTAGGTCAGTTACTAAACTTGACCAATTTAGCTCCCTCTGTTGTCAAAGTTGTAGACGTCAAAGATAAGCTGTGGCGAAATGTGGCTACTGACATTGCTTCTGCACAGTGGAATACAAATAGAGCTGTTGTTCTGACTCAGTATATACCAAGCTTAGAACCAGCTACTATTCCAGATATTTTTAAACCGTCTAACAGGCATTTGAATAAAAATGATGTGTTACAAATGTGTTTGAAAGAAAATAAGACAGTTGATACTTCAAAAGAAATATTAATAGAAAAATTGAGGAATAACAATTTAAAGTCAACCACAAACGACGTTGAAAACTTTGAACATATTGATATGACATTGAGTAGAAAAACAATTATATCTTTTGTGGAACTCGCACAGTGGTCTGATCTCATAATTTTCGATTATTTAACAGCAAATTTAGATAGGATTGTAAATAATTTATTTAATTACCAATGGAACATTAATATAATGGATGGGCCAGCACACAACTTGGCTAGGAAAATGGACAGCGGTTTATTAATATTTTTAGACAATGAATCTGGTTTATTACATGGTTATAGATTATTAAAAAAATATAACGTGTACCATAGTCTAATGTTAGATAATTTGTGTGTATTTAGAAAAAAGACTGTAGACGCTTTGAACAATTTGTACGAGCAGTCGATAAAGACCAAAATTAGTGATATATTTCATAGGAAAAATAATGCGGTAATAAGAGATATTCTGCCACCGTTGCCAGAGAAAAATGCTAAAATATTACATGAGAGGATAGGCAAGGTTCTAAGTCAAATTGAGAAATGTGAGCAGAAATATAGATAGCTGTTTTGTAGTGGCATCCCACTTGAACACAACAATTTGATTGAGATAAATCCTATGCAACGTTAAAAATACAAATTATTGTGTTTAAGATATATGATGCAAAAAAGTGATAATATAAGCATTTTTCGATACCAAATAAATTAATTTATTGTAAAATATAAAAAATTGTATTTGTGCCAGTGTATAATTATAACAACGTGATATTTAAATTATTAGGATTATAAATTTTTGTTATTGTATGTATATATAGTTTAGTAAATTTTAAAGTGGCTTTCTGATTTGTAGCGTTAGTTAAAATTTTTACAGATGTTTGATTATTACTATTATATGTTATATCTGTCCACATTACAATAAGAAATAAGATACGATTTATATAATATATATAATTTCTCATATTTAATTAGTGCTATATATTCCTCTGAATATTTTGGTGCCTTTATGAATTATAAAACCGAAGTGAAATTACATTTTTAAAGAACTAATACATATTCTTACTTTTGTTTGATACTAATCCTAATAGGGTTCATTTTTTATTACATTTAAATATTACAACATAACTATTACTTCAATTGCTGAAAATGTAATATCAATAAACTAGTAGACTTTCTTAAACCGATTGTATTATTAAACTAATTTACTTTGATTCGTGTAAATCAAGTTTTATATAACACAGTATAAGTTCTAAATTTCATGGCGATATGAACTAATATTGTAAGAAATAGTCTAAACATTTGTTATTACAAATCAATTTTTAAAATAAACAACTACGCTACATTACTCGGCAGCCTTTGAAATATGTAAATAAATGTAAAAAATATGTAATTATAATAAATAAATGAATTTTCAAAAGCCGTGTGTCTTTTGTTATTTATATTTGGATGGGCCGTAACTACTGTATGCATAATTAATTTGTTAAGTAGAAGCTTATTGTTGCGGAGTGATTTATTTGACAGGGTATAACGGGCAAGGGTAACTCGGATTGAGATAAATTAGGACACGTTTGTGAATATTTGTGTGTCGAAGTGACATTATTATATTTATTACATACTCGTATTATCTTAAATTGGGAACAAATCTTTAGAAATATTAGCTGTAAAACCTTTCGAAAAGTTATATTTCTAAATAGGTATAAATGAATAAATAATAGAACTTTTTGATATTATTATTGCAAAGGTATAATTGAATCGTCATCGTTGAGTCGAAATTACTGAAATTATACTTGTTTATAATTGCAGTAAAATTGTTGTTGCATAATACATGGTACAAAAGGAATTTCTTAAAATTCATTCCCATAAAGACTAAAAAGAGGTTGAAAAATAGATGGAAGCCCCTTCTTCCATCTAAGTATATAAAATATACACATACACGTGATATTTGTATTTAGATTTTTATAAAATGTAATTATATAAAAATGTATAGTATAGTATAAAAATGTATTTCGGATTAAAAAAACAGTAGCTAAGTGATAGAGAAAGACGTGTGTCTTCTAGATTATTGACAGAAACTTTATTTTATTTTATTTTTGAAATATCTGTAGGGAACTAGAAATATGCACCATAGTTTGACGATCAATATAGAATTGAGTACGTAAAGAGTAATTTAAACAGCATGTAGGACAACCTATATATAGGATAATCAGTGTAATGAATACGAAAACACCACATAATCTAAGAGGGCAGCGCCAATATAGTAACCTAAATCTGTTAAAACCTTAAACACATCAGGTACTGTATTTGGTCCCTATAAAAGTTTGGCTTTTTAACTTTGTTTAATAAAAATTCAAGATGAAAACTACTTAATTACAAGCTAAAGTCTGAATAATGTAACTGTTCTTTTTATGTGTAAAAACCGTCATATAAACCCAAATATCCAATTTAAATGTGGTGAGTTATAATTTGTAATATAATCGCGAAAGAGTTTTAATGAGGTGATGATTATAACATGCATTGATAATATTTGTTTAATTGATAATGGCAACTTATTAATTTGAAAAGATTATTGGTGATAGGCATTACTTTATTAAAAGACAATTTATGTGTGCTGACAATTTTGTCCCATTTAACAGTTTTGATAAGTGCATTTTTAATTAAATGAGATTTTGCATGTCGACTCGTATCTAAAAGTGCAATTATTTGTTTTAAGCATAGTTTTTAGGGTTATTTCCATCTTTTGTACCTAAATAAACAGTACCTACATAAAATAACTTAAAAAACAAGATATTCAGTTAAGTCTAGCCAGTTTTTCTCAATTGAATCTGTATGCCGAAGTGCATGGTAGGGTAAACATTTAAATATAATTTTACTACTGTATTTTCTAAGAATAATAAAGAATGTAACGAAATAGGAGTTGTGCGACTTCCATAGTACTTTTAAAGTATTATATATCTACGTAATGTTCTATTTTAACTTTTTTGTAGATCTTAGCCTTTAAAATTACTACGCAACTACTACGCCTTAAGAGAAGCTGTAGGAACCATTCGGAGCACGTCTCGCCTACCGGGTTCGGTTTGTCAAACATATTTGTAATGTAAATCAATGCTCGATAATTAGTTTCTCCTCTCGTGGTGTAGGACAAATGGACCACCTGATGGGCAGGCGTTCAATATTGGCCCCATTGATGGACAAAACACCCAACCAATAAAATGTTGCAGAGACGGGAAACCTATTACTTAATTTTATGTGGATAATACGGGTATTTTAAACGTGATATATGTATAGATGTTTCTTGATCAATCATTCGTTTAAGGCTCAACTGATTTTAGTGAACGCACATAGAAAATATCCTAGTATAAGATACTGAATACATACCAATTAAATTAAAGTGTCTGTTTGTTATTTCAAATTAACAGCTATTCACTAAATGCATTTGAAAGTATATGCGGTATAAATTGAAACTGCGAGATCGATTTTGACAAGATTCTCACTCGCAGACAGCTAATATAGGAGTAACTTAGGCTACTTATATTTTAAAATTTTATTTAGTTTAATAAATAAAATTATACAAATAAAGCGACATCTTTATGAAGAACTTTATGAGATAATTGGTAGAAGACATTTGTTAAAATGCAGATAATAGGTTGTCTCGATATATAATATCATTATAAATATCTTCGAAAAGGTTATGAATGAATTGGTTAGTGAGAGAGAAGAATAAATGCGTAATGAACTCGATATAGAAAAAGTGAATGAATATATCCCCTATATTCTTTTATTTTTATTTGAACAATGCAACAAGTAGAGAATGAATTGACTTACGTCAGAAGGTACAAAATTGGTCGACACAAATAAACATTGGTTTGGTTTGATAACAAAACAAACTCATAATAATAATAATACGCTATTTGCCTCAAATAAAAACTAATACAATTGCTGCTTATATAATAATAAAATTTAAAAATAATTAACGAGATAAAACGAACTCTGAGCGGGCAGTGAGTCCACTATCTCTGCTATTCTGTTATAACTTTATTAGTAAAAATAATACACTAAGAGATCGATGACGACGATGTCACTTAAGTTCTAAACTACCATAAACAAAGTAAGCCTAATAATTGACAATAATTTAAGATTAAAACTAATAAAATTGGACAATAAGAAACTTAAAAAAATATCTAAAAATTATTCAGAACTACTTACAATCGGAAGACTGATTTAGATTCGTAAACTATTTAACTTGAAATAATAGTCATGAGACACTTAATTCATAGATTTATTGAAAAAAAGTGGAAACAAATATAATATGCTGAATCTAAACAATAGGTGAAGCTGTTAGTTATATGTGAAGTGAGTATATTACTTATTAGTCATTATTGTAATTAACATTTAAAATATCACTTCCCTAACTATTCAATAACAATCGTAGAAAAAGGGGGGAAAGGCATTGTTAGTAATGTGAACTAATTACTCCATATAAGTCAGGTTGACGTGTGGAAGTCCTGTAAACCATCGCAATAATTTCCTGGTGAATTGGTCACGGTGAGCCAACTGACTTTATCATACTTATTCTATCATACTTCACTGGTGCCCAGCCAGTGTAAATCGCACAGGTGGGTCATTCCATTAAAAAGAAAGCATTAAGTCATAAAGATCTTATTGTAATAAACGCGAAATTTTGTGAGTATGGATGGATATTTGTTACTCTTTCACGCAAAAACTACTGAACGGATTTTGATCAACGGCCTTCAATTCTTCATCATCTACTTTGGACTCTGGCCACCCACGGGGCTTGTTTTGCAGGTCGAAATTTTTCGCAGAGCGAAAACGCACTGTATTTTCTTTTGCTACACCACCGCCATACACATCATTAAACCTTCGAGCCGTTTCTGTTGCACTGGTGCCACGGCGGAAATCGTACTTGTAAATAACGCATATTTTGTTTTCCATTTTGTAAATTGAGTAACGCTAAGAAAAAAATTAAGATGGAAAAAATATATGGATTACAGTTTTCGAAAAACAAATGCATGACCTGTATAAATGTGAAATTGTAATTTCTAACCAAAGAGGAGATATTTGAGATCAAAGTGGCCAGTACGATAAAACGTCAATTTTATATGTAAGGACCTACTATTTAAAAGGAATCATTACTTTTCTATACGACTATATAAAATGGCAAATAAGCTGATGGTGCAGCTGATGAATTCCGACCGAATCTATAGACTGTACTGAAACGTAACGTAATTGGCCAATTTTAAAAATACTTTTTTAATTTATTTTTATGAATAGTAAATAACCATAATCTTATATACATGAACAGCTCCACAAACATTACAAAGTACTCTGTGCCGCCATAGCTACTTCTAATGCATTGCCATTAAATTACTGGATAACTGGCTACATTAACAAAAAATATTTTAACTTCGAACAATTTTATTTAAATTTCAATACAATTTTGAATCAAATTCTTATTTTAAAATATTGAATTATATTGAAAGGTATGCAAAAGTGTGAGAGCGTCGTGGTGTAGTAGTTTACTAGCATATCTTAAACCGAAATATCATGGATTTCAATATGAACGGTACTAAAACATTTTATGTGTAAATTTATTAAATATAAATTTGATGACTGGCTTTCACTGATGGAAAAACCTATGACAAATTAAACTAATTCGAGAAACAGCTATAGATGCGCCTCGTGCCATATTTTACTGAAATACTCCTAATGAAATAAAGGTATATCAGGCTCAAGCCTGACATATAATAAAATAAAATTGTAGTTATAATTGAATACTCATAATTTTTAAAGTCTGTTAAATATATATTAACATAATCTGTAGTTCCCCATGCAGGTAAAAATTATGCGTCACATAGATAAAAATGTCAACGTAAGGTTATATTTAAAATCACTCTGTACGAAGTTCCGGAGTTACGATGTGACGTACATTCAAAAGATAAATACAGAAACGAAATAATAAAACAGTGTCCTTTATTGGGATCACTTAAGTCGTACTTAAACCGGGACTTTGGCCGATTAGGTGGGTATGCGGGCAAGCGTGTGTACTACAAATATGTTGGGTTCCTTATGTATAAACAAGATAATAATACAATATACTGTCATAATTTTCTTTTTAATTTATTAATCAAACAAATAAAATGATCATTTATGCTGTTATTAAGAATTCTTTGGTTTTAAATCTTTATTCTAAATCATTGCATATCTAATAGATGGGGTACTTACATGTAGATACTATTTGCTCTTGAAATTTGTACAACAAATTTATGTAACCACGCAGTTATGCTAAGATTATAACAGCGAGATTGTTGTACAATTCTACACATTACTTTTATAAGGAGTTTGAAATAGCATCGAATGATG